TAACAAATAGTATAGCCGGTCGGCTATATGCCTTTTAAATATAATATACTCAGAGTATAGCCGCGCGGCTATACGTTTTTGACACGTAGCATCGGCTCTTTAGTTGGGCGCTAGGCGGGTCCCCAAACACCCCCCCTATTTTACAAATAGTATAGCCGCCCGGCTATACGCCGGAATTTTTATATAAAAAGGAGTACAACCAACACGCTACATCCACTGCCTCAACACCAGTTGATTCCTCTAAAGAAAATTTTAGGGCATGTTTGGTATTCAACTTGAATCCAACTTTTTAAACTCATAAATAGAATTTGAGTCCAAAACAAAGAAAACCTGTTTGGTAGTCTTATTTTCAAAAACTCAAACTCAAGAACTAAAAAACACCCCAATTATTAAAAACAAAAAATATCTGTTTTTTCAGTTTTTTTCTAACAACCCACAAGTTCTCACATTTTTAGGATTTGAAAACAGTTTTTAAGTTGGATACCAAACAAGTTTTTGAATCTTAAAAATAGATTTAAGAACTCCTTGTTTTTAAGAAAAATCAAAGTTTTTTAGTTCCCTTAAGTTCTGGTTTCAAAACTGCGGGTCGTTAAAGTACAACCAACAAGCTACATCCTTGTACAATAATGCAAGAATCTTTATTTTTTTCATTGCTTAGCGCTTGGCATTTAAGTTTATGTTTCTATATTTTGGCTTTCTTTTGACATCGTTATTAAAGGAATGAAAATGATAGCCTAACTTGCTAAAGTCAAATTTTTATGCATGATTACACATTCATATTCCCCTGCTACATCAACAAATGAAAAACTGGTTTGTTTCATCCATTAATCACTTCCAGCATTTACAATGTAGGTCATTCAAGCAAGTTGTCTGCTATCACCAACTACATGGTTGTATGATTCCGGATATATAAAACTGAAACTAAAATGTCTGTTTCCGGTGCGTTAGTGTTAATTCTTTGGTGTTTGTTCAACATGTGATATATATATATATATATATATGTAAAAGAACAAACAGAATCCGATACACTATCATCAATCACAACAAAGTAATAGTCGTCAGGTTTATGGCAAGGAAAGGATGCAACACCATAAATTTCATCATAAAATAATTTCTAATATTTTCTTTTATACGTCCTTCAATTAGTTTATTCAACTCAAGAATTGACAAATGAACCTGTGAAGTCATAACTTGACAATGTCAAAGGTTCCAATCTTAAATTTTAAAGTACCATCAATTCGTCGTATTGCATCAAATCCTTCCTTGTCTGTCTGTTCTGTATGTTTCTTACAGCAACACCCAACATTAATTTATACACCCGACCAGCCCTTTCAAAGTCTTCGTTTTAATTTACTCTTGGGAAATTTAACAGACATGTTTGTTTTTTGATATATTTTTTAGGACAAAGACAATTTTTCAGTCTTATGTATAAACAATATAATTCTCAGTTCACATTTCTTTCACCCTAATCACCAGATGAAAACTGTCATACATACTGTTCTGCTCTCAATGCCTCTAAGCAGGCTGGCAAATTGTTGTGTTGCTCTCTTCATTTTCATCCATCTTTTCCTTCCCTTTACCGTTCATCCCCTTTCCTTTCGTCTTGGTCAATCCGACCTTATTAGTACAAACAAAATGATCTACGAAGGTGATGCCAAGCTTTCTCCAACCGGAGTGATCGAACTCAACACAGTCCGTGCACGTTTTCTCGTTGGCAGAGCTACGTATGCTGAGGCTTTGTACTTATGGGGCTCTACGAAGGAGACACTGGCAGATTTCACCACCAACTTCACTTTCATTGTCGACACTCTTAATAGGAGTACCAGGATTGGCGATGGATTTGCATTTTTTCTTGCTCCTGTTCACTTTCCAATTCCACCTAATTCAGCGGGTGCTCATCTTGGATTATTCAATAGAACCACTCGCTTTGCAGCCTCCCAAAATCAAATTGTTCTGGTTGAGTTTGACACCAGGTCAGATTCCTGGGTGGATCCACCAGGGCTACACGTTGGGATCAACAACAACACCCTCTCCTCTGTTGTTCATACCAGTTGGGATCCTATCGGCAACAGTGGGAAGCCGGCTCATGCTCGGATAGCTTACAATGCTACCACCAAGAACCTCAGTGTGTTTTGGACATATGAGGAAAACCCTGATTATACTAATCTCAGCAGTTCTTCTCTTTCTTGCTTTATCGATCTGCGAAAGGTTCTTCCTGAGTGGGTTACAATTGGATTTTCAGCTTCTACCGGATTTGGCATTGAACGCCATGCTATAACTTCATGGGAGTTCAGTTCAACTTTGGACTCTGATGAGATCATAGGTAGCAAAACCAAGGAAACAAAAAAGAACAAGACATTCTTGATACCAGCGGTTGCAATTTCGAGTTTCATTCTGTTGCTTTGTGTGGCCCTATGTAGTTGGTTGGTGGTAAAGAAGCGGAGTAATGGGCATGGAAATTACTCCAGTGATGTAGCCAGCCCTACAATTGATACGGATATTGAGATACTAGCCTTGCCAAGGAGATTTTCTTACAAAGAGTTAGTTGCAGCCACCAATGGCTTTGCGAAAAATAGAAGGCTAGGCCATGGAGGTTCAGGACAAGTTTATAAAGGAATCATACAAGATCTAGGCTACACAGTTGCTGTGAAGAGAATCCTTGCAGAATCTGAGCACTATGAGAAAATCTTCATCAACGAAGTTAAAATAATAAGACGCTTGATACACAGGAACCTAGTGCAATTCATTGGATGGTGCCATGAGCAAGGCGAATGCTTACTTGTTTATGCATACATGCCTAACAGCAGCCTTGACACCCATCTATTTGGCTCTAGAACAACCCTGCAATGGGATTTCAGGTACAAGATAGCTTTAGGCTTGGCTTCAGCCCTTCATTACCTACATGAAGATGCAGAGCAGTGCGTCCTTCATAGGGATATCAAATCAGCTAATATACTGTTGGACAACGATTTCAAGACTAAGCTTGGTGATTTTGGGATTGCTAAGCTCGTGGATCCACGGTTCATCACTCAAACAACAGGAGTGGTAGGGACTTTTGGTTACATGGCCCCGGAATATGCAAACGGAGGGAGGGCTAGTAAAGAGTCAGACATGTATAGTTTTGGAGTTGTGGCCTTGGAACTTGCATGTGGAAGGAGGACTTATCAGGATGAAGAATTTCACGTACCGCTTTTTCGGTGGGTTTGGCAGCTGTACCTTGCCGGAAATCTGCTCTCTGCAGCTGATGAGAGATTGGATATGAATTATGTTCCAAACGAAATGGAATGCTTGTTAATTGTGGGATTATGGTGTACTCGTCCCAACAACAAGGAAAGACCAAAAGCAGGGCAAGTGATGAAGGTTCTTCAGCTTGAAGCACCTTTGCCTGAACTTCCACATGACATGCATGATTATCCACAGCCTCAACCTCAACCTCAACAACAAACTGGTTCCTCTCAGCTATCATTAACTTCTAGCTTCGAAACGGTGGGTCGTTAAAGTAGTACAACAACAGCCACCAAACAACTTCAAGGGCAAATAGATGAAGTTAAATTTAGAGATATTCATTTCAGTGTTAATTCTTCTTATTAAGTGTAAGTGGGTTGGGGGGAACGTTTATTTGAATGTAAAGGTGTGTGTGCCAAATGACATGCATGATACCAAGATACATGGTGAACAGCTTGTTTTAGATCCAACCTTTTTCCGGCGTCAACTTTCGGTGAGCAACTTTGGCTTGGTCTTGTTCAAATGTTAATGAAATCTTTAATGATTTTGGTGATAATGATATGGTTTGCTACAAATTTAAAATCATTGTTTTCTTTCATAGAATAGAATAGAAAAGAAATAGTTATTTAAAATGAATAAAAGTCATTGTAGAAATTTGGCAGGGTTTTGAACATTGAACAGGAAGTTCCTTTATTCAAAATTGGTCATACTACGTGTGGGAACCGAATAATTCCTTCCATTTGGTGATTATTTGCCCTAATTGGGAGTTACTCAATTTAATTGGGAGTTACCCAATTAAATTATTAAAATGTGTTTTCTTTCATAGAATAGAATAGAAAAGAAATAGTTATTTAAAATGAATAAAAGTCATTGTAGAAATTTGGCAGGGTTTTCAACATTGAACAGGAAGTTCCTTTATTCAAAATTGGTCATACTACTTGTGGGAACCGAATTAGAGGAATAATTCCTTTCCATCTACGGAATTATTCCTCTGAAACCCTAGCCTCCGAGGCTCCTATAAATACCTAGCTACACACAAGGGTTCAGGTACGTCTAAATTCCTACTGAAACTCTGCAGAAATTATCCTTCACAAACCCTAGCCACCATCTTCTTTCTCTCTCTCTCACACAAGGCTTCGGCCTCTAATTAGGGATTTGATTTAAATCAAATAAATCAAATCCCTAATTAATCAAATCTCGCCTAATCGGGGAGGAATAATTCCTTTCAATCTACGGAATTATTCCTCTGAAACCCTAGCCTCCGAGGCTCCTATAAATACTTAGCTACACACAAGGGTTCAGGTACGTCTAAATTCCTACTGAAACTCTGCAGAAATTATCCTTCACAAACCCTAGCCACCATCTTCTTTCTCTCTCTCTCACACAAGGCTCCGGCCTCCACACACGGCTCCGGCCACCCGGTTTTCCTTGAAACACCCATCCTAACTTAGGCATCGGAGGGCCTTTGGACAACACCCCCCGGGTGTGGTCCTTTTACTCCGATCTATTTTGCAGGGAGAGAGAGGTGCGAAGAAGACAAAGGAATCTTTAGGCGAATATTCTCGTAGGAGGAAATTTGCTCCCACACTACGAATTAAGTTACTTAAAACAAAATTTAATCAATAAATAAAAGAATGTTAAGAGGATGATGTGAAACAGAGAGGAATGAAGGCATACCATAAATCCTTGGTCCCCCCGTTTGGGAATACTTTTTTTGCCAAAAAAAAAAAAAGATTTACTTTAAAGTTAAGCAATTTAAGGTGTTCGGTAAAAATCAAATATCTTAATTTTTTTCAAAGCAATGATCTCTTGACAACATATTTTAAAAGCAGCCTCTGAGTCGCTTTTCAAGCACAAGAGCGACTTTAACAAAATTTTCCCAATTCCCATAATACCATCATTAATTTTTAAAAATGACATCATTTGGTCACCGAAAAAACCCCAAGAAAGAAATCTGTTAATGTGAGGTTTTTAATTGATTGAGTGAGTTGGTGGATTGAACAAGACAATTAAAATTTATGTGGTCTAATTGAGGTCAGACCCTTAGGCATTGGTAACAAAAGACTACAACTTTCACAATTTCTACAAATTTTTCTGCTAAATTTCTCAAAGGAATTATTGCCATTAATATTTTCAGTTTCAGACCAAAACAAAGAAAAAAAGGATAGTCTTTCTTCTCAAAATTAGCTTAAGTGATTTGCATTTGGAAAATTGAATTGATCAGGTTCTTATTTAATTTCCTGTGCAAATATTCTCACTAGAGAATATCCGCTTGAAGATCCTTCGCCCTTTAAGACACTCCGATGCCTAAGTTAGTTCGATTGTATCTAGGAGAAACAATAGTTAAAAAAGAGTACGCAGTTTTCTCTATGGGCAGAACCGGGTGGTCGGAGCCGTGATAGGGAAATATGGAGAGAGGGGCAGCGGTGAGAGAGAGTGTAGGGTTTTTTAAGTAGAAATTGAATTACATTGTTTGTTGAATATAGCTATGTATTTATAGGGCTCTAGGCATCTAGGGTTTTTCAAAGAATATCTTCTTATTTGGAAGGAAGATATTTTTTCCCCAAATTGTAAAGATCGAGTCAATTAGGGATTTAATTGGAATCAAATCACTAATTGATGATGATATCTCCAAATTAGATAATATCTTAATTTGGTGATATTATCTTCTATATATATAAAGCAAAAGGCAGAGAATGGTGAAACATTCAAAATACCAGAAAATGCTGTTAATGCAAATATTAAGAATTGAAATTATTAATTAAATGAGGATAATATGGTAAATTCACACTTTTTCATATTTAAAAAAAATTTAAAATTAAAAGAAAAATCGGATAATGGATCCTATTTTTATGGAAAACAACTACTCATTATCTTTTTTTAATTCTAAAATAAATTTTAAATTTATAAATAAATAAAATAAAATAAAGCCTCTCGCTGGCGCTTCTGCGCCTGCGGAGAGGCTAGTTTTAAATAAAGGTAATATCTCATATTTAAGATAATATCCTTATTTTTAGTATCAATTAATTTGTCAAATAAATGGGCTCAATTAATTTACCTAAGAGATATTATTCTTGTCCACGTGGCGCCATATGATTGGAAGCCGAAATATTTGTTCCCAAAAACACCAGCATCAAATCTAGCATGCCTGATAAACTATAAAGCAACTGAGTCCAGAAGAGCAAGCCCGGGAAAGGATGATCTTTTAGAACATACCGATAGAGTACTGCCCCAAAAAGGGACCCAACTGAACCTATAGAGAATATATCCCACATTCTCCTGCATAAAGACTAGAATTGTTAAATTTATTTATTGGAAAATATACTCATATCTTAGTTTCTTAAATTCACTCTCATAAGTGACTGCCAAATACCTGAGAGAAAGAAGGATCGTCCTTCGAGTCTGTATACCACTAGAACATTCCGTCAAGGATGTTCAAGCTCAATGCAACATGTACAAGCACGGTCTCCACACATCAGGGCATTTCAATGTTGTCCACATAGATTTTCTGGCATCGATAAAATTCTGCCTGACCTGCTCCCAGCATGGAATATGAGATATTTAGCATGAAAAGAACCAAGAATCAACAGGAGTAAACGAAACTATTACCTGTGTGTAAGCGAAGTTGGGTGAATGAGGTTCATTGAGAAGAGTTCCAACTAAAAATACAAGTCCAGCTGGGATTGCCAACAAGCCGTATACTCCCTACCAGAGAAAAGGAAGAAAACTTTATATTTTTAAACTGAAATATGAAAAGGAAAAGTTTCAAAGCTTTGAACAGCTATAATCAAAAGAAGCTGACCTTAGGGGCTATAAGATGAACAAAGATACCACTAACAGAGAATCCCACTAGTGCCCCAATGGAGGAACTTAAGGCACACAGACTTTGCACATCAGATGCAAGTGAAGGATGATTAATACTGTTCTGTGCCACACAGGCATCTATGGTGACATCTGCTGCAGCTACTCCAGCACTTCCTCCTGTTAATGACAAGATGGCAAATGCGAGGTGCAGCTTTTCATGGAACAATAACAGGAGCATGGAGATCACTCCCATAGAACCTATCATCAAGAAAACATGAACCAGCTAGTTAGGAAACCATGTCAGCAAGAAATTTAAAACCCCCAGATGGCATTTAAGGCAGAATGTGGTCTAAACACCATATGGCAAGTACTGACTTTTTTCAAAAAAGCACAAAAGTCAAGTGATATTCACATCTATAGACTAGGAAAATGGAGCTAAAGCTTGTGGCATTTAAGGCAGAATGTAAACATATAAATGGGATCGCAGAATCCCAAAATCGCTATGCAACCTTGAACATGAAAACCAACTTAAAAAGTTCTTGACTTTTGAGCTAACAGGAAACTAATACTGGATCACTTACCAGCAAAAATGAAATAAGGCTGTCTTCGATACCCAAAAATTGGGACAACATCCGTGAGGAGACCCCAGATAGGCTTGACAATCCAAGGATTATAAATAATTCCTTGATAAAATTGGGCTTCAGAAGGCTGCACTTTCTGCACATCCTTCATGTAATATTCTGTGCCCACGCGAGAAAGAGCTCCACCCAGTCCTTGACTTATTCCATAAACAACCACCACCCCCATACAAAACTCCAATGCATTTCCATACAGAGCATTTTGAACCATTGGATTGGCGTGCAGAGAGCATCACAACACCCTTTTTTTGGGCTCATTTTCCTCCACAATATTAGCAGAGGGATCAAGACTCTCCTCCTCCTCCTCCATCATTACTCACTTTCCTATACAGATTTTTAGAAAACAACACCAACCCAGTTTACAGATTAGTGTTTCCTGAACTGTGGGAACCTGTTTTCCTGAACTGTGCTTGAAAATGAAGAACCCAGTTGAAGATTCAGATTTTCTCAAATTGGGTTTCTTCAAAGTGAAGCTTAGAACTTCTGATATTGGCTTTGGTTTCTGCTTAAATTAGTAACCTTGAACCCGCTGACGAAACCTCCAGCACATACAACACACAGAAAAAACAAAAACATACAAACACAAAGACAATAGCTTTCTCAAATTAATTTTGCAATGATGATCTAATTTATCCTTCTGAAAAGTAATAGATCAGGAAAACCAATTACTTCAAGTTCAAGATGCATCAAAATCCTGGTAGTAGCTAGCCCCAAGGTAACAGAACGAGTTGACTTTGACCAAACGGTTTACAGTTTACACACTATCTTAACTTAATTATCAAAATCCGGTCTTGGCTTTTGTTTTTACAGTGTTCCCGTAGTGAACTCTCATCAACACTGTGTCAAGAAGTTAAATAGAAGAAAACCTACTTAATGGATCTCACTATATAAAGTTGGACTACCATGAAATACTTCTCCCATTAATAAGAAAAAATGTGATAAATAATTTAAAAATATATAACAATAGTACATTCATCATAACTCTTTCAAGTATCAACCTAAAGCAACTTTGGCTTGGTCTTCTTAATACGTTTCTGAAACCTAAGATGATTTTGATGTGAAAGGTATATTGTTGGGCTATTTATCATCAACTCTGTTCACAAGGGAGACCAATTCAATGTTCTCTGTTTCTTGAGTTTCAATATCCTCTTTTGTATTCAAGATTTCGGTTGGAAGAATGGAAGAGTTGGGATCAACTCTAGGTACCAAAAATAGCAAACAAAGCGGAGCTAATCTCAAGATGTTCCTAATCAGAATGGCCAGCCAGAGATTATCAAATTGTGTCCGTGTAACCTTCAATACATGCAGTAAGATGCCTCCTCCCCATGTTGCTGAGAGAAGTCCAACATTATCGATTGACATGAGCAGAGCAAAAAAAGTTCCTTCGATTCCCGGAGGACAAAGCTTTGAGCTAAGCACAAGAAGAGGCATCCATTTGAGCCTTCCAGTCATTTGAGATACACTTTCATCGATCACAACAAAGAAATAATCCGGTATGCCAAATTTCAAATTCAATCGCAAGACCAGCATCAAATCTAGCGTTCCTGATAAACTGTAAACCAGTTGAGTCCAGAACAGCAAGTCCCGGAAAGGATGATCCTTTAGAACATTTTGATAGAGTACTGCCCCCAAAAGGGAACCAACTGAACCGATGGAGAATATATATCCAACATTCTCCTGCAAAAAGATGTGAATGATTACTTTACTCACATTGCACAGAGTGGTCCCTTCAGGGACATCTGGTAAAATTGGAATGACACATTGGACAGAGTGGTGTGAACTGAAGTCATGTAAAAGAAGTTTTAGCTGTTGACTTCTTATTCTCTAAAAATATACTGATTACTGGGATAATAAAATTCACTCTCATAAGTAATTGTCAAAAACCTGTGAGAAAGATGGACCGCCCTCCGAGTCTGTATACCAGTAGAACATTCCATCAAGGATATTCAAGCTTAATGCAAGGGAAAAGTACATGTATAAGCATGGCCTCCATACATCAGGACATTTCAACGTTGTCCACATAGCCTTGCCAGCATCAACAAACTTCTGATTGACCTGTGCCCAGCATGCAATATTAGACCATGAGCATGAAAAGTGAAAAGAAAAGGACAAGAATCAAGAGGAGTAAAGGACTACCTGTGTGTAAGCGAAATTGGGAGAAGGAGGTTCCTTAAGCAGAGTTCCAATTAAGAATACAAGTCCAAATGGGATTGCCAACAACCCGTATACCCCCTACCAAGGAAGAGGAACAAGAAAACTCTTCTAATAAACAAAATATTTTTGTTTCAAACAGAAATATGAAAAGCAAAGAGAATTTTTAAGCTTTGAACAGCTACAAGTGAAAGAAGCTGACCTTAGAGCCTATAAGATGAACAAAGATACCACTAACAGAGAATCCCAGTAGTGCCCCCATGGAGGAACTCAGGGCACACAGGCTTTGCATATCGGCTGCAAGTGACGGATGATTAATACTGTTCTGTGCAACACAGGCATCTATGGTGACATCTGCTACAGCCACTCCAGCACTTCCAGCTGTTAGTGACAAAAGGGCAAGTGCAATGTGCAGCTTTTCATGGAATGATAGCACGAGCATGGAGATCACACCAATAGAACCTAATACAAACAAGACATTGACTAGCTAATCAGGAAACCATATCAGCCAGAAATGGCTAAATGTGTCGTCTCATGAAACAATCAATCCATGTGGCAAGTTCTGATTTTGTTTTCCCAAAAGAACACAAAAGTTAAACTGATATTCATATCTATTAGAATATAGACATTTAAAACTGAAGTTTGAGGCATTTACAATTTCAAATTTAACACTTAGAATGTTATCCTTAATTGAATATATGACATTGAACATCAAAACTAGAAAAAGTTTTAACTTTTTGAGTTTACCTGCTACAATGAAATAAGGCCGTCTTCGATACCCGAAAATTGGGAGAACATCGGTGAGGAGACCCCAGAGAGGCTTGACAAGCCAAGGAATAGAAGTAATTCCTTGATAAAATTGTGCTTCAGAAGGCTGCACTTTTTGAACATCCTTCATGTAATATTCTGTGCCCACGCGATAAAGAGCTCCACCCAGTCCTTGACTTATTCCATAAACAACCACCACCCCCATTACAAAACTCCAATGCATTTCCACACACAGCATTTTGAACCAATTGATTGGCGTGCAGAGAGCACCACAACACCCATTTTTGGGCTCATTTTCTTCCACCATGTCACCAGAGGATTTAAGATCCTCCTCCTCCTCCACCATCACTCTCTTCCCAATACAGATTTACCAAAAACAACAACCCAGTAAACAGATCAGTGTTTCCTGCTTCAAAATGAAAAACCCCAGTTAAAGATTCAGTTTCTATCTGATTGGGTTCTTCACGGTGATTGATTCTCCTGAGGGAAGCTTAGAATTTCTGATCTTGGTTTTGGTTGCTGCTTGATAACCTCGAACACATACCACAAAAAGAAGGAAAAAAAAACAAACACAAAGACAGCAGTAGCTTTCTCCAATTAATTCTGCAATGAATGTGAAATTTATTCTCTCCGCAAAATTATAGATATCTGGTAGTGAAAGCCGAGGACTTCAAGTTCAGATGGATCCAATGCCTGGTAGCTAGCTCCAAGGTAGCAGAAGGCCTCTTGCCGCGATGTTGACTTTGACCAACCAACCGGTTTACTCTTTACACCCTTCTTAATTATCAATATCTGATAGTAGTTTTTAGTTTTTACAGTTTAACCGTTGGGTAGTGCCTCGCTCTCATGTAAGAAGCTGAAGAAGTTTCGGCCGCAAACATTCGACTCAGCAGAAAACAAACAAGAGAAAGGTAATTGCTTTCTCAAAAGTCACCAACCCGCCAAGATGGTCAGAAATTCCGATTTTTTTTCCTTCTTTTCTTTTCCTTTTTCCTCTTTTTTTATTTACTTTTATTTATTTGTTTTATTATTTATTTATAAGTATTTGAAAGGAATAATATCATGTACATGGGACTTCCCTAGTTATGATGTTCTGACACGTGGCTGAATGCCACTGGCTCCATGAGCACGGAAGTGGGGACATGTGAGTCATAAGGATATAGCTTCCGCTTGCGACAAGGTGAAGTCTCTCCCTTCCTGGAACTGGAAAGACTTGTGTTAAAAGGCCGATCTTCTTCTGATTTGAGTTGTGTTATTAGCTCACTTGTTATGGTGCGGGTAAATGAGAAAGTTCCATATTTCATGAACTTATAACATAGTCTTAATAAACAAATATGTATCATAACATGGGTAGATTCGTAACACCACGTGGTTATTGACCATATATAACTGTCACGCTTGAGTACTTCCTAATCGAAGCTCACAGAAGGTCACACGAAAAACTATCCAATCACGAGATGTCATATACGCAAAATTATTTAACTCAATGGTGGAGAGTAGGAATTGGTTGTTTATGTGATTCATGAACCTTAGGGAGATGATAGCGCTTTTGATTAATTCGTAACACCACGTGGTTATTGACCATATATAACTGTCACGCTTGAGTACTTCCTAATCGAAGCTCACAGAAGGTCACACGGAAAACTATCCAATCACGAGATGTCACATAAGCAAAATTACTTAACTCAATGGTGGAGAGTAGGAATTGGTTGTTTATGTGATTCATGAACCTTATGGAGATGATAGCGCTTTTGATTAAACTAGTGTGTGTAATTGGCATACTCATTGGACTAGGTTGACCACAAAACCTAATGCATCCTGAAATGGACTTTTTTTTTCCCTCAAAGAAAACCCAAGAGCTTAATTATGATTTTTATCATATATGCTTTAAGAAAAAGGGAATAAAATGGATCCAAGTTGGTTGGTTTAAGTAGCTTGCCTCCTGTCAACATGTTAGAGCCATTGGAGAGAAGTTTCTCCCATGAACAAATCTTGATGCGAGTTTGATTAGGCAATAACAATGAAAGTGTTTTAATTTTTATGTCGACTAACCATTACAGACCAAAAAGGGCAATGAGCCTATGAGGAATGAAAAGATTCTTACTTTTTTGTCTTCGTCTTGCTTTTTGCTTCTTCTTCCTCCTGGTTTTAAATCTTATCTATTTTCCCCTGTTTTATTCGTGGTTGCTTTATTGACCTTAGCAGAAGTGGGTTAATGAAGACTACTTATAGCAGAGTCGAATGGCACTAACTTCCTGACTTCTTCTTTTTCGACAATTGAAGATTCATGCATCATCAACATTGGATGAATAGAGTAAAGTTAACAAATCATATTGACATTTTGAAAGTGGAGGAGCAAAAGTTAGTGGAACCCCCAAATAAAAATTAGTTCCAAAGATCTAATCTGTACATGACTGACCTGCAGTCAAAAAAAAATGCTGAGCAAGAATCTTGTAAAGAGCACAAAAACCTCAACATGAAGAAGTTGAGTTCCACCAGTTGCCTAGTATCTCTCAAAATCCATTCACAAACACCCATTAACAAACCATTAACAGCACAGCTGGATGTATCCTTGCTTCAAACCATGATCTTCAAAAAATCTGCAATTTGGTGATGCCTTTCCCCGTCCGTCCAACATGGAATCGTGATTTCCTCAGGCCAAAGGGATCTGATTCTTGAAACTCCTCCTTCAGCGGAAGCATTCTCGGTCTCACTGTTCATAGCCTGCCTTGATGCATATCGAAAGTCCAATTCTTGTTCAGCCAACTGTAAGCATCATTCCAAACATTACATTTAGCAGCAACCAGCTACCCTGTGAAATGCCTCTATCCGGGTGGAAATGGGCAGGCGACTCAAATCTTCGTGTGATTTATAGTAAAGCATCTTGTGCACATAGAACATCATGTAACACTGTGAAGCTCTTACAATTCCCTCGTCAACCTCATTAATCCAAGCATTGTCACATTTGTACCACTGGTTTTTTATGCGTAAATACGTCACATAATGGCCGGATTCTAGTGTCCCAGCATGAGTAACTACTGCAAAAATCTCAAATTCTGTAGATATATCAGATTCATCTCCCTCAAAAGCAAAGATCCTATTTCCAAATCTGTTTCTGACAATTGAAGAAGACAGATATGGAGTCATGTCTAGGGAGAAAGGAAAATGCAAATAGCTGTCAATTTTCCTCATCATTTTTCTGACCAGGGAGTGCTCAAAACGTTTTATATGCAAACACAACACCAACGGGAGCTTTCTGATGGACATTTGCTTCGATGAGTCTCGCAATTCTTCACAGTTCTGACAGTACAGTTTTTGGTCTGATCCCAACTTCTCTGGTTTTGTAAACAAGTCTAAACAACCTAAAAGAGTAGATGAACTGCTGTTGTCATTTGGTTTGACTGGCTTATTAGATGCATCTGACCAAGAACAATGGCTTGTGTCTAAGTTGAGTGATATGTCCAAACAAGGGTCATAAGTTGTTGAGGTGAATCCACAAGTCATACAAGTGACATCGGACCTCAACAGTCCTGAGAATACCCTATGAGCAATACACTGGCAATCTCCGGTATCTGTGAAACAGAGGATAACTTCATAAGTACAAGATAACTGTTAAACAATGTAAAAACAACAATTGCACATGCATCTATTACTTCTACAGTATCCTATGAAGGTGTACACAACTCATCTAATCCTTTTGAGATTCTTGAACTTCTTTAGATACAGTAATAGATGGCTCCATAGTTCTACATCCTTCTAAACAGTGTCAAAGTGCTTCCAAGTATTATCCCTCTCTTGAAAACATAACAGGCGAGACCACAATGCCAACAGTCGACCGATAATTACCTCTAATTTGGTTCCTTGCTTTGCTTTCTTTCTCATGGATCCCATCTAAGACTGAAATGAAGAACTCATGAGCATCCTGCTGCTCGTAACTTGCCAGATTTTCTGAATGCTGCCACCAACTTCAAGTAAAAGATAGTGTGGATCAGTTGAAAAGTAAGTCTACTCCATGTATCAATTAAGAAAATACAAGCATACAAGAACTAACAAGAGATTTAGCATCACATATCAAATAAGAATTTGATCCAAAATCAGAAAGATGGTGCCATCATTTCCAGAAATTCCATGTCACTTCTAAATAGATTAATGTGAAGAATCCAACTAACTCCAACCACACAAACCCTAATTTGAAGGTTTCAGTATACAAAGAAAAATACAATTCTGTTGAGTATCTTTCTTGAAGCCCAGCTTAGACATACACATTATGCAATTTGCACGTATACAACTTAAAAAGTTATTACTTCATCTCCACTTGCTAAGAGAGCAATATAACACTTCCTATACTTATCCAAGGAACTTCAAAACCGACAAATTGCAGAGACAAAAACCGGCAATGAAAATCCTGAAACAAATGTTTATCCAATATAAATCAGCCATCTGTTGTAGTTATTTCTTTGTTCGGGCTTCGGCCCCCATAGTATCAAGAACAATAAAAATCATTCATCAAATCACAAAACCAAGCATTATTAACTTGGCAAGATATGCTGTAACCAAAGAGCACACTGGCAGAGCAATGTCAGACCTGTAAAGAAATTGAGCCGGGCTATAAGGAGTCCGATCCCCCAAATACACAGCCGAGAAAATACCATGAAGTTCGCAAGGCAAACACAGCCGATTCGCAGTCCTTTTCCGGCATGTTTTGGGGTTATGCCGATCACTCAAGAAGTAATTTCTCAAAGGAGGTGCATGTAGTAGTGCTTGCAACACAGAATTCATGAAACAAGTATTGCCCAAATTATTCAATCCCCTCAAACCCAATGGGTAACATGATTTAGCCCTCTGATCTCTCGTCAAAGCCGACTTTTCGGCCTTCTTCAAATCCACTAATTCTACACCTGAACCCAGCCTCTTCCTTTCACACAGTCTCTCTCCTATACTGTCTGCACTATTTGTGCTATATGGCAAGTCCACCATGTGTTTAGACATCACAGTCTTATCAAAATCAGGATCATAGACCTGATCAGAGCACGCACAGCAATAAAGCTCAGCCCTTTCAATGTCCACAGCTAAATAGTGGCCAATCTCAGACTGGGTATGCAAAAGGGCGTGGCTTGAGCATGAGATTGAAGAGCAAATCAAACAAATATAGAGTCTACCTTGATACCCATTACAGGAACTGCATCTGGGTATCTCTGTGCCTGGATTCTGAACACTCGTCCTTCCATTTGGGGTGGTCTTGAGGCACTTTTGGAGTGATTTATAGCCACTCAAGCCATGTTTGAGCTTGTAAGCTGAAAGGTGCTTGCAGGGTTTTGGGTTTGTGTATGAAGGTTTTCTAGTCGACATCTTTGATAAGGATTGAGAAAGGAAGCTCTGATTCGTTACAAATCAAAAAAACAAAAAATTTATTAACAAAAATGGCAATATTATTAGATTAATAATAAATAATAAAGATTAACAAAGCAAGATCCAATATTCCAGTAAAGAGATGGAGTGGGAACAAAAGGTCTGGATTTGTTTCGGTGGATGGTTATGGTGTGATGTGAGAGACAGAGGAAAAAAGGCAGGGCTTTCTGTGCTCTGTTTAGGGATGACTTGAAGAAGGGGGGATGAAGAAGGTGCCTTTTGAGCATAAATTATGATTTCTATACCGACTCGTAGAGTCTTCTCATGGAGTGTATAGTATTTCCTTTGAAAAATAAGAAAATAAAAATAAAATAGCTTTTAAAAGAGTAGTGAAATTATATTCAGGGGTTCACCCCAAAAAAAAAAAATTATATTCAGGGTTTTCGTAGCACGTGGAGCAAAGCACTTTACTTATCCACTTCCTATTTTGAAGGAGATCTAAACCGTCAAAATTTTCATCACAGTGATCAGGTCCGTCAAACAGCTAGGAGGACAATGATGCCCCATCCATCATGTAAGGTTTTTGGGCTAGTCTCTGTTTATTTTAATATTTTATGTGTCTTACATTTTACATTTCTTTATAAAATATAATTCACTCACGATTTGATAAAGAACAAAAGAATAACAATAATAAGTGAGACTTATAACACCGATATCGACATCAACTTAATAACATGTATAATCCAATAAATGAAAGCATATGTATAGTCCAATAAATGGAAGCATGGCATGGACTCAAATTAATGTTTATAAAATGTGTAGTTACAAGTTTGACAAGAAAAAAACAATCTGTTTAGTTAGAAGTCTCCGGTCATTGAATCAACATCGATGAATTATCTGTTATAGTATGCCGAGTTTACGAAGGGAGCAGTAACTTTTAAGCTGTCTAGATGTCTCATCGAGCTTTACAAAAGAACAGAAATAATGTCTCTTCGAGCTTTACAGAAAAAAAAAGGGTTATTATCAGTCATATAGTGCCCCTGCCAATGTACTGATTGCCATGAATTGTTTTAGACAAAGCTGAAGAAAAATGCTTTCGTATATCAACCATCATCCTTTCAACAAACACTTCCCCATCTCGGGTGTATACCACGCCTGTCTCCATCTCTAGCATATCCCGGCCCTCATCTCTATCTCTCTCCTCATATAACATCCTCACGTGATGAGAGAGATAGAGACAAGAGTACCTGTAACACTAGAGTTTTCCCCAACCTTTGGTGCTTTAGAAAGGAGAGAAAGAGAGAGACTGCAACATGGGCATTTGAGCACATGCCTCGCATCATGTAGAGTGACAACAATCCAGGTTAGCACTTTGGATGACGTTGAGGATACGTCAACATACACATTAAACTTTTCTTGCACTTTGTACACCGCACAATGCACTAAGCACTCTGCATAGATCATACACACTAAGAGACTTGAGAAAGTGCTGACGGATGTGGGGTGAGATTTTCGTCCTCAAAACAAGGCCTAGGGAAGATAACAAATCTAGAGTTAATTTATCTACATAGACAACTAAAAGGGTTGGTAGAAGTCCACTTTGATTCCATCAGAATCTATGTATCTTGTAGAAACAGAACTTCAGCGTAGTGACAATCAGTAACCAAGCATTTAGTTTAAGTTCATATATTCAGATTTTCCTTCATCAAGTGCCAAGACTATGAACAACCCAACAACAACTGCTTCTAGTCAAAGAAACCAAAAGAAAAGGATCTGCAAAGATGAACTGATATGACCAATTCAAGGGCCAAAACTTGTAATTGTCAACAAGCTGAGGTTCTAATTGTCAACATTCTCAATGGGGCTAGCTAGGGGTGAGATTTTCGTCCTCAAAACAAGGCCTAGGGAAGATAACAAATCTAGAGTTAATTTATCTACATAGACAACTAAAAGGGTTGGTAGAAGTCCACTTTGATTCCATCAGAATCTATGTATCTTGTAGAAACAGAACTTCAGCGTAGTGACAATCAGTAACCAAGCATTTAGTTTAAGTTCATATATTCAGATTTTCCTTCATCAAGTGCCAAAACTATGAACAACCCAACAACAACTGCTTCTAGTCAAAGAAACCAAAAGAAAAGGATCTGCAAAGATGAACTGATATGACCAATTCACGGGGCCAAAACTTGTAATTGTCAACATGCTGAGGTTCTAATTGTCAACATTCTCAATGGGCTAGCTAAATCAGTCTTCTGCTGTACTTTAATTACAGCAGCAGACTTGGGAAGAGTTAGGAACAAAACTAATGCACCCAAACTAGCAGAGAAATCGAAATCAGCATAAGTCTCATGCACCAATTGTTGCAATTGTTGCACCAGTACAGGCAAAACCTGGTGCCTTGGAACATCAAAATTAGGGATTTCAGTGAACAACACAACAATGCACATATGAACAGTTGGATCAAACTGCAAAAATTTGCATAACTTCTCAACCATACAGGCTCAAAATTCAGCCAAATCAACAAAACCAAATTCACACAACCATAGTCATTTATTCATCCATGGATAAACATACACAACATCCAAGATCAGATACATGGATACAAAGTCACAGATACCCAGAAGCAATACATTTAAGTCATAAAGACGATAAAAGGTTGAGACTTTTCAAGAATTCTAATTGAAAATAGAGAACTTTCAAGAAACAACACGGCCAACAACTGGGTACTTAGCTTCGAACTTCTTCTCCCAGTCGGTGAGGACGCCGATCTCCTTCTCTGAGAGGCCGTCGAGGGAGGCAGTGATGTCTTCTTCGTTCTTGGTCATCTTCGCCAGAGCTCTGCTGGCATCCTTGCCCGCGAACATCGCGTACGGCCCTCCAGGCCCGTAAAACGACTTGCCGTCCGTCACGTCAAAGACGCGACCTTTCAGTGCCACGTATATCGGCTTTGATGGGTCGGTGCCGTTGTATTGGATCAGCTGCTGTGCTGTTAGCTCCATGGTTGGGTTCACACAGATGCCGAGGAGGACGACAAAGACTTCAGAGGTTGTTGGCTATCGGAGTAAGCGACGAGGATGCTCGATTATTCGATTGCCTGATTTTTAAGTTTCTCAACAACCAAAATAATTAAAAATCTTTATTTTCAGTATATATTTTTTTAAAGAACGGTGGATATTGAAAGTGAGAATTTTATTTCTACACAAAAATATAAAGTTTTGATTTTATTTCTTTTCTTTAATATATTCTTTGGGTTTTCTGACATGATTATCGCGTCAAAAACCCAGTTGGAAGTATCCAGTTCATTTAAATTCAAATGGCTTTTGCTATTCAGATCAAAACATTTTTGTTGAATTTAAACATTGTATGAGGCACTGGTTTACAGTCAAAATTAACGAGGCACCGTTAACTGATGCGACTAAACGACTAGTTATTAGTCTAGTGATACTTATTTTCAAATCGTTAAAAAGTTCCCAACTACGACGTCAAATCTCCCCTACTCATTGACACAGATAAGTAAATAATCGACCCTTGATCCTGTAAGATCCAAATTCAGGAGAGTCGCAACTCCCCACTCAATTGATTCGTCAATACCTCTGCCCAAACCTAATAAAGCACAATTCAATTTGGATTACCATCAAAACTGCTAGCAAAATTAAAGTGTTAAAATATAGATTTCATGATAATCCATTGAGTCACTAGAACAAGTACTACAAGCTCAGTGTCTACGGCCACAAAATTTAGTTATATCATTCAGAACTCGAAAGAATCACATTATCAAGACCAGCTATGCGTCGTTTGCCAGTAAACAGCAACAGGATCTCATCCTGCATCTGCAAATGCCATTCATCTTTTTATCTTGAGATTGGCAGCCGTCAAAACCCAACATTGGCGTCAATATAGAGGAATGCCACCACCTGAGTACTCAACCTCCTGAAATTTGGACCAAACAAAAATGGTTAAAGGAGCCCTAAGGTGAAGGCTACGAAACAGCTAGGAGAAGCCACCATGAATGGCATTTGGGCAAATGGCAACTCACCTCCTGCTGAGTGTACCAGTAAATTGCACATTTTGAAAAAAGAACGAAAATACAATTACATGCATGAAATGTGCAATAAACAGATTTTTTGCTGTTTTAGATGGGAGTTCCAAGATATTAAGAAGTTTGAAACTACTAAGGTGTCAGCATTCAACAGTCAGAAGCGTACTGTAGTGTGTGATATGATATGGGTTGTACATTGTATATGGGCCACAGGTGTGCATGTCGAGAGTAACAATGGAATTGTAATCTACCCACTGGAAGCCTGCAGTTCCTTGTAAACATTCATTGAAACCTTTCCAATACAATTCTTTGTTATTATTTATACAGCTCATGCAGCTTGTAATATCACCTTCCCGCCACTTACAACTTACTAACACAGCAACTACCTCATCCACTTGATTATTTGCTTGAACTATCCTCCCTAACTATCTCCACCTAGCTGCTATGTTACTAACTCACTCAGAAGCTCAATCAGCTGCCTGGTTCATTATTTATCATGTGCTGGAAAAGCACAAAGTTGTTTAGAAGCATTTAATGACTAAAATTTAATCTGATTATGGACAGCCTATGATATTCTCCATCCCTACAGTGAAGAGGGAGGGAGAGTTCTCCACTACAAGAAACTTTATTTTGCTAGGAACTGTTTTTTAAATCAACTTCACTATACAAGTTGGATGAATCAGTGTAAGTCAAGAATGGTTCCATGGTTGCGACTGCTTAGGTAAAAACAGTGGTGCAGACATTTTAAGAGCAAATGACATGCTTCAAAATAAATTGAGAAAATCCCACATGCCGGATGAATTTCACCTCAAGAGGAAGAATTTTACCTGAGCAGGGGGTAAGGATGAAACCCAATCAGATGCATGTGTAGGAAGCAACCCCAAAGTGTTAAGCTGCCAAGAAAAATGAAAATTTAATAAACGGGATTTCTAAGAAGATAACCATAAGGGATAAAGCAATTAAAGGAGAACAAATATAATTCACCTTCCAAACACCCAGTGCTAAACCCCCCAAATTAAGGGCAATGAATAGCAACTTTGGGGCAATAAGATCTACTTTGCTGTCCTTGTAGGGCTCAAAAACTGCAGAATCACATTAAAAGAGAGAAGAAATAAACTGCCGAGCAAATAAAGTATATGCATGAATCAACTGACAAACACACAAAGTATGTCCTCGATAAAATTTGCATGGGTATATGAAGGTGGTAAAAAGTCCTATTGAAACTACAGTTAACAGGAAAAAAAAAAAAAAAAAAGGAAAAGAAAAAGAAAGAAAATTCTACATGCAACATCTCAGCAATCAATCATGCCAAACAACATTTATAAGAAGTAGATAGTCACGTCAGCGAGACAAGTAAATGGAGCACTACATTAACTGTCCAAAGGCCATGAATGGTGGTTATTTGAAAGCACTTGCATGATGATACAGCAATATAGACAAGCAAGTATAATACAGGATTTCATGTTAGGCAGAGAAGAAACTTAATGTTTTTCCATCCTTATGTACCTGAGTAATCCACACATATAGAGCGATGGATGGGCGAAAAAAAAATTACCAACAGTTGTATGGGAAGAAAAAGTATAGCAGGCATCTTACCCTTTCCTACACCCTGTAAGGCACTTATGGGCTGCCAAAGAGCAGAAAATGTGATTCCAATGCTAAACAAATGCACTGTACTTCCAGCCATCCACATCATGAAGCCCATCATTAGCAAATTCTTGAATGGGGCCTGCGCAACTTCCCAAGCTTTCTGCTCAAACATAAAGAAACCATGAGATCCCACAAATCCAAACTATCGAATATCACTGGTATAACGAGGGTAAACAAAATTCAGTAAACAAACAGCTAAAATGGTGATCCATCCGCAATCTAAACCATGCTCCTCATCAAATCTTTCTCATAATTTGTGATCAGATTACTAAGTTCAGACGTAAAGGTACAATTTTTAACCCCTCAAAATGTCCGAAATCCTGGGTCTAAAAGACGAACGCAAGAAACCCTAAATCCTTCAATGTTTCAATAGATGTAAATTTAGGGAGGGGAATAAAAACCTGAGCTTTCCAAGTAGATTCGGCATCCTTCTTCTGGCGACTCACAGTTGAATCGTCCTAGAGAAAAACAAAAAAAAAATCCCAATCAAATCAATTGAGAACGAATCAAAATCCCAATCGGACGAGGAAGAAAGAGAGAAACGGGCAAAGAACCTGTTCGAGGGACGTGCGAGAGAAGCCAGGAGGATCAGGGACGTCGCGGGAAGAAGGGGAGGTTGAGTTGTCAGTCAAGTCAACGGCCCATCTTCGACCTGCTCCCATCACTCCCTTTCCCTTCTCCATCTTCTTCTTCTCTTCTCTTCTACTTTCGCTCAAGTCAGAAACTAGAGATTTGGTACGAATATCGCTCTCTCAACTCAATGCCTCGGGTCGGCTTCTTGGTTTTTAGCTTGTTTTTTTCTTTTTCAATTAAATGTAAAGTTGTTGCTGGTTCAATTTTCAATTGATGTCATATGTCATAAGTGACTCTCTAATTTCGAGGCAAAAATCTGTTAATTTAATTTAATTTGTTTAAGTTCTTGGATTTTGATTGGATGTGAGATAAGATAAACTTTTCCCCAGCTTAATCCAATATCCCAATTCGGGCCAGTGGAAATGCTGACCCGCTAGTATCAAATCGGGCTGAGCCCAATTATTCCTTCTGTAAACCATAGCCCAACTCCACCGCCCTAATTGGCCAAGCCTACTAGTGCCTCAATTAATATGCGGAAGAGGGGACTCGAACTTGAGTGCACAGGACAGACTCATTGACACTGTCCTAGCCAACTAGCTTGACCCAAGCTGACATTTTGTTCACCTTTTAGTTGATCACATCAGGACGGACTGCCCTAGCCAACTGGCTTGACCCAAGCTGACATTTTGTTCACTGTTTAGTTGATCACACCAGGACGGACGCGGTTCAAAATTTGCAATTTTTACATCAAAATTTACAATTCTTATTGAAGTAGTGTTTCGTGACTTTCATCAGCCAGGTTAACAGAGAAAAGAATATGAAAATCCACCAAAAATAAAAAAAATTATGAGAGAGAGACCATCATACTTTGAGCATATGAAAATCTACCAAAAATCCCATGTTTAGTCTTTGTATGTTGTATACAATACAAGGGCAGCTGATGTTTCCTATATCTTACGTATGCTATGTATATATTCAGTCTACATGCAAACTAGGAACTTCTCTGAGCTTTCTATACATCACTATTTCAACTCTCCCTTTCTAGAAAACTTGTCTGAAAGGTTTGCCATCACAAAACCTGCAAAAACCTGAGTCCAATGGAAAGTAGTTAGTGTAAATTTTTACTGCAGCAAAACCAACTATATCGTTGGGAGCCATGTCTCAAGGTAAGTTTGACGGCAGAAGTTCGAGCCTTGTGTGTCACAATATGAATGAAGCATAATATGAATACACATACCTGAATGCAACCAAAGATGTAGACTGCAGAAAATTGGCGGCTGTGAATTACCATGTCAGCTACCATAGCAAGGGGAATTGTCAAGGACATGCCCAATGTTGCAACTAATGGAGAAGTCCAAACCACAGAAAGTGCCCTGTCAAAGTTTTCGTTGATTTGATGTTAAAAACATTAGGCACAAGCATCTTGTAGCTTCATGGAAAAAACAAAAAAATAGCAGAAAGTACTGATAATACATTTGGCCACCACACAACAGACTCGAACCGACCTCTTAGAAGTTATCTATGAAAAGCCAATTGTGCACCATTTATAAGAACACAAAGAATCCTTTTACAGGTAGATGGCAAGTAATAAATATAACAGAAATCATGGTTTGATGCTTTCATGTCCCTGTGGTGCCACATTGACCCCAATGTTTGTGAAGGCCATTTTACATACCAAAAATAATCTGAAAGAACACTCCCCATGAAGCCATTTAACAGCACAACTTCCCCAACAGATTTCGATTGTGGAAGCTCAAAAGAAGGTTCAATCCCGATGGCATTGAGCGGCCACACTGCATGGGAAAGAATTTCTGTGAGCAATACAACTCAAACAGAATAACATGGCACCCAAGAATATGCACTATCTTTTCGTTATAAGCCCTTTCCATTTGAAAACTCCACCACATACAGAGCTTAAGAGACTGCAATATATATTTACACTTCTCTTTCCAACTATCTTATGATTTCTCTGTTTCAATTTCTCTTTTTTTCTTGTAACAATCTTAAGATAACGTACTCAATTCTAACAACCTTCATATAAAGAGACTTTTGTGCTGAAAAACACTAGAAATCATGATAGCAATCAAGCCAATTTTATTCTAGTGCGAAAATCATAAACAATAGCCTGATACAGTCCAACTTACATTATCTTTTGCAACCATTGATCTAGTTATCAAGTTTCGCCTGAAATCCATCATGGTATGCTAACATAGTCTAATTTAACTTCAGAAGGGTGGAAGACAAAGAAAATAAATAGATCCTGTAATTATTATTCCACTCACCAAGCCACCACAGACCAAGCAGAGTAAAGAGACCAATGTATCCAAAGAGCTTCTGCACGTCAACCTTATCTCCTTCCTCTTCTGATCCAGCAAATTTCTTCAGTAACACTGCATGTATAAGACTAGAAACTTAATAATCACACAAAAATTCAACAAATAATTAAACTGTATATCAGTTATATCAGTTGATGACTTATTTATTTGTAAAATTTTTTAAGTAACACTGGATTTCTGAATGGAATGTATTACCTGTAAATAATCCATATGATGCTGCTGAGAGAAGACCACAAATGTCTCCTGTTATAGAGTGCTTTCTAGTCCTTGGCAACAAGAACAATATAAAATTTCAAAAACGTTAGTGAAACGTGAGTAAAAAGAACAAATATTACCTTGAGTAAGGAACACAGATATCTAAGAATTAGTCAAATATATTTATAACTAATACATAAAATAAAAAAATAAAACCATCTAAAATTTACATAACCTTCAAGATGTCATTCTTATTATATATTCCCCACCCCACCCCACCTCCTTCCGGTGGGAAGGAAACAACTAAATTCCCCTCGAAAAAGCCAACCTTATGTCAATACAATTATTCTATAAGCTAAAAATTTTCATGCGACCTAGAACCCAGGGTGGAAACACAGTACAAGTTGATACTATGTGCACCCATAGAATGGGCAGATAGGAGGACTAAACTAAGGCATTCATGTTGACCGGAAAGAAATTAGAAAGCACAATAAACAGTTATTACTACTAGCTGAAGCAACGATTAAAAACTTACTCAGAGATGCTCAGCAGTTCATCAGGTGCCCAAGTATTTCCAGCTGTGGTCATGGCAACACCAGCCATGCTGACAAAGACAGCAACCATCTTTGGAATACTTATGGAATCCTGACGAAGAAGAGCTCCAAAGAAAAGTGTAAAGAGCCCCGATGTAGAAGTTAGGACAGTTGTGCTAGCAACACTGGTATTTGCCAGCGCAGAGTTTGACAGATACTGCACCAGATCAAAGTGATTTCACTAAGTCACTTACCACTTTTAAAAGGGACCTTGATGAGATTGGCCCGACCATACAACTAATCCATGCATATGAAAACAAACCAAAGATCCATGAAGATTTATGTTTCTATTAATGCAATTCCTCAAGCAATTTAAAATGCAAATCGAAGTCCAAAAAGGTGATATGAATAACAGGAGTGCCAAAATGACTCATGTTACCTCTGTAAGAAACCATATTGGAGTAAGAATTAAGCCACATTTTGCAATTTCCCAGGGACTAAGCTGATCACTTTGTTCAAGCAAGTGAGACTCATATTCTTCACTCTTAGCGATTAGAGGCCGCCCTTCTTCCCTATTGCTGAGATCTTTGTCAGTAACTGGGCAGCTTGTAACATCTGTTTCTGGACTGTGGTGCATTTCATTTATTATAAGTGGGATATCAAGCCCAACTGAAGTGCTCATGGCACTCTCATTGTTATAGAAATTATCAACTAAATTTGGTTTCAGTAAGCTGCAGATCCAATGTTTCAAAGCTGCTATAGGTAGATAGACAACCATTAGAGACACCCCGAGATAAGTCAGTGCAAACGGCTGTTTGTACTCGGTGAAAATTCTCTGCATGGAAAAACCAGTGCAAGTTTAAGTTTTCAAATCATAGAAATAGAAGAATGCACCCTTCAAATATCTGGTATAATGAGCCTAACAAAATAATGTACAGTTTTGACGAGAAATATAACTTCTTTATTAGGAGAGAGAGACCTTTTCCCCCAAAAAAAAATTCCTGAAAGAAAATCAACCCATAGGAACCCCAAAAGAAACATATAAATAGAACAGTGAGGACAGCAGTGATGTTTTTAAAGTGTAATTTTCTTTTCTTTCCCTATAAACAAACAGAGCACAAATATTATTATGAGAACAGTAAATTATAACCAGCTAAACTACTGAAGTCAAAAACCAAACTTTGAAAAGAGAAAGAAAAAGAATCAAAACTTCAAAAAGAAAAGGAAACAAAGGGCTGTGAATGAACCCAAACCTGAGTAACCTCCGCAGAAGCGACCCATATGAAGACAACCGTGCCAATCAACCCTAAACCCGCGTTGTACTTCCAACCCATGACCAAAATCAGCACCAAGCCTCAAGAATTTTTGAATTTTGACCCAAAATACGAACTGGGTTAATCTCAATTTGGCTACAAAATCAACATCTTCACGAAAGCTCCACACGCAGCAAGACAATCCAACTTGTATCTTGTTCAAGGGTTTTGGGTTTCTTTTCTTTTAATTTTTTGGTACCAAAGGTTGGTTCTTTCGGTTGTTGCGTGACTTTGGAAGTTCCAAAGCGTGAGAGGCGAGAAAGATTTTAACTTTTTCCAGTTTTCTTGTTGAACGTGAATCTGTCAGCAGATGAGTCAATCAGAGTGACAGGTGGTACTGTATCAACTATACTTCCTTCAAGGTGGCAATCTGTAAAACTGGCGCGCTTTCTAGCAATGCTTATTTTAGTTATAAAAATACATTTTCGTTAAAGTGCTCAGTTCTCTTTTATTCACTTACACTCTATTTTATTTTATTTTAATACTTTTGGTCCATCAGCAATTTTTCACTTCCATTCGTGTGGACTCAATTTCGGTTTTTTTAATTTATGTAATTTGCTTATTTTTGTGATTTTAATCTCAATTGGCAATCACTTTAAATTGAAAACGGGATGCAAGAGTAGTTATCTATGCATTAGAAGTCGTGTGTTCGAATATCTTTAATATCACTTCTAAAGAATGAAATAAAAAATTAAAAACGGATGTCTGTTACATATTCTCATAAAATCAATTGGAGAAAACTGTGGATTTTCAACATATAAATTGGAATTTAGGGTTCTTGGTGAGAGAGCTTGAATGTAATATATGGTACGTTATTCTTCATTTATAAGTCTCTATTCAAAGAACTATGAATACAGATCCTCTACTTATATTCCAAGAACCCTACCTAAAAATAACATTACTTAAATCAATTACATTAGTAAGCAAATTAGGATCTTTGACGTTTAATTTGTTTGCGAGAGCGGTCGTATGGATGATGCACTCGAAGGTGCAACCTTTTTCAAGACGCTAAAACAGAATTCAGATTCACCAGTTTTTCCGTAATAAATCCCAATCTGGTCACCAGCACCAAGCCCTCTGCGCGTAACAAAATCCCAACCCCATTCGCCTTCTAGCGTGGCATTAGCCTCTGGCTTGTAATCGTAAATGTGAAAATGAAGTGCGTGTTGGGTGTTGGTGTCAACATCCTTAACCATGATCTTTGTGGAATCTGTTCTTACTCTTATGATCTTGTCTTTGTTCCAAAGCCTCAATATATGTTCCTCCACGTCCTTCATGTCTAAATAGACGAAATGATTTACGACATCTAATGCCGTAAGCTCCTTCTTGATTTTCCACTTGCTCTGATCATCTTCTTGCGCCATTGAAGCAGTGAAAGCTATGGGGATTGAGAAAGTAGAAGAAGACTTGTGCAGGGCAACGCCTTTGTAAAGTATATATAAACACAATCAGCAAATTAATGGTCTTAAGAGACCATCATGCGGAGAGCCTGATATAGTATTTAATAGATGGGGGAAGAAAAGCGAGGGAAATAGACAACTTTTATTATTATTTATTATATTTGAAACACAATTATAACAAGGCAATGAAATGAGGGGGGCAGAAAAGCGTGCATTTTGCCGAATTAGAGGACTAGTAAACAAAATTGGCTGGGGGAAAAAGGGTTAAGTTGTACATGATAATTGGGGTACAAGGCTTCGTTGTCGAACCAGCTCGTGAAGATCATGAACAATCTTGAACACAGAATCAGGCCTTCATATAATGCATCCCCAAGTGCCCGAGCTGTAGCCTCAATAGGACCCATTCCTTCTCCTCCCCCCATCAGCAACACAGCAGGAAGATCCTCCTCCATTCCTAATTCTCTCCGGAGTTCAGCCTACGGTTAAATAAATAAAGCATACCAAAGGTAGTCAACATTTATTTTAAACACCCATCTACAACCATGGAATAAGTGCAATTGAGCTCCCAACCCTTAGATTCCCAGACCAACTATATCCTCCTTACCAGCTTTTTCTTTTCCCGACAAACAATTCTGTTTTGACCCAACAACAAAAGGGATTTCTTTTTGGTTTTCAACCTTACTTCAAAATTATAATCTCATGCCTCATCTTTGGTCCTGATCATACAATTTCATGCATTACCATAACTTATAAGAGAGAAAATAATCAGCAAATCATCCAAACCCAACTGACAGCTTGCAAGCACAGATTTCAATTTCAATCAACAGTCACTAGCCCTTTTACAGTCACACCAAATGTTGATTTTCATGCAATATATTAGATCAAGGTTAAAGACTTAGTTGATCAATAAAAAAGGAAACCAACCTTCGGTCGCACAGGCTTGACAAAGGAAGGGCGTACGGGGAGGCCATAAACCTTGATTTGGGAAGGCTGGAGTCCAGCTTTCAATGCCCTCTTTGCAACTTCAGTTGTAGGACAATAACATCTTGTTACAAGCTTATGAAACCTGGACATGAAGATGTACAATATCAGAGCTATGCTGAGAAAAGGATATGATTAGTAGAGGCTTCGTGCAAAACAAACCATGTAGGATGGCAAGTGCTTAAATCTGTGACGACTGTGGTAAAAACTATTTTCTTCAATAGACCCCTTCCCCTTAAGACACGAAGTGGTACATGTTGCATCAGTGGGTGCACGCTGATAATAATATCCGGCTGGTATTTCATCAATCCTTTGGCAACCTCCCTGCAATACAAAACAGAATTAGAGGATTCGACAAGTCATACTGCCAAAAAGCTGTCTTTGAACCATAACTTGACAGGAAATATAAATTAAAAAACTCAAAGATTAGGACAAAATTGGTCATTTCCTGTGTTTTGCAAGCCTATTAAATATTTTCCTCATAAGGTTAAAATTTTCCAGGGGAGCATAAAATAAAGTCCTCAAAATGACCTTTCTATATAACTTTATAAGCTTAAAGTGCATAAGATACACGACTAAAATGTTGTAGATTCCCGCAAGCTATTTTGATCACCAAAACTTATAAACAACCGCTGCTGCAAACACGAAAGTTCCAACCCACTATACATATTACTCTACATAATCGTTCAAAAGTTGAAAATTAGTACAGTTAATAAATGGGTGCTCAACTTTTCCATGAAGAAAAAGAATGCACAATTAACCGGCGGAAAACAGACTAGATGAATTATGAGCATAAACCTTAAGCCAAACAAAGTCTTACCGAGCTATAAATGTAGAAGTTGCCGCAAAATTAGATTGATGCACCAGACGTGGAGCAGTCCCATAATATGTCATCTTCCATAATGGCCCATGTTTCACCAAGAAATTATAGCTCCTGGGAAGTTGATTAAATGGCCAAGGCGTATGATCCGACCATAAGTCAGTAACAAACACCTGCGACATGCACTCTTAACAATAAACACGATCAACAAATTTGTACTTAACCTATTTGCTTTCACCCCCCCCAAGTGTTCTCTTGATTAAATTTTGTGGGAAAAGATCGAAACTTAAATTTTAAAATCTCATATTTTATGGTGTTATGTTACTACATTTCTGCACAGATGCCAGTCAACGAACATTGCATGTTCTCATGTCAATGATTCTAAATAGCTCTGGAAAACGAAAACTAAAAAAGCAATTTCCATTCTCCCCACAAGTCAAGCAATCAAATACAATGTTTCATAATAAAGTTAAATTTGTTAGGACAATCCAAAATAACTGACCTGATATTCATCCCCAAATTCCTCATTAAACGCTGCCTTGATAGCTTCTGCAGAAGCTCGGTGACCGCCACCGGTGTCGCTCATCAAAATCAGCACCTTTTTGGGGCTCTCTGCCCCCACACCATTCAAAGCTATCCCATGATCGTTAGCACCACCCCCTTCTTCTATCAAGACATTGTTATTGTCCCCAACACCATTATCCGATCCATTGTTATCCCCATAGCCAGTCTGAACTGAAGCAAACCCAATTGGGAATTTGTCACAATGGAACCTAATTGCTCTATTAAACTCGGTCACAATTCTCCGAATGCTTGAACTGCCTCTACTGGTCAAACTCAGTGAAGCTGAAGCACCAACCTTGGGCTTTTTCCCGGAAACTGAACCCCCAAAGCCATCAAAGTACAAGAAATTAGATAAAAACGAAGAGTGCCCATCTGAGCCCTGGTTCTGAAACCTTGAACTGAAGGCAAAGCGACCCAATTGGGATACAAGGTCGTAGACAGGACTGGGTTCTTGGGTTGTTGTTATTGAAGGGCTATGCATGGTTGAACTTTGAGTTGCAGAGAGGTACTGATGAAATTGAAATGGTGATCAAACCATGGTGGTCAATTATTGTTGTGTTAGAGCAAATTGGGTTTGTCTAAAACGCCTGGAAAATAATAATAATACACAGAAGAGAACAAGTCATATATGAAGTAAGAAATAGAGACAAAGAGAAGAGAGGGTATGAGGATTTTTGGAGATTATGGCTGGGACTGAGAGGGATAGTGAAGTTAACAAAGGAAATCTTGGAGGGGGTTTGTAGCCACAGAGCGAGGATTTTGGTCTGCCCGCGCGCGTGTGAAGGAGAGAGTAGATTCTTGGTATATGTATAGGCGCACAAAATTTTGTTTTCGCTTAAACTGGGGAAGACATTGGACCACTTTAAGTTGGACGGGGCTAGGTTTGGTTTGATTTATAGCCCAACCCAAGCTGGCGTTTGGTCTCAAGATGAGTGAATCCTGACTGTTGATGCATTCTACCGTTTACGTTTTAAATGAATTAATAGTCAGTCACACAGTCTTCAGATGGGAAAATTCCGACTATTGATGTGTTGCGAATCTCATATGCATAGCAGTTTGGACTTTGTTGTTATAAGTTAGAACTAGCAAGATGAATTGATTGCTAAAACAAATGTTGGGTTTCCACAACCTTTTCAAAGTCCCAAATGATGCATTGAAGTGTGAACAACTTTACTTTATCAATTTAGTCAGCAACCTAAAAATACATGTCATGTCAAATGTACTTGAGAATCTTAGTTAAGGTTTTGGGTCATAAAAAAGGACCAAACATATTAGTTGCCCTCGAGTTTTAGTCCTTCCACTAGCTAGCTAGTCAACAAAGAAGTCAATGAACGCGTTTGCTACACCACATAAAACTATCGTGGCGTGGAATTGGACATGAAAGCTATAGATGCTAAAATTATGCGCATGTTGGATTAAATTTGACACCCTTTTGGATTTTCGTTGGAGCATAAAGGGAAAAGAGCAACCATGTGACTTTCATGCAATTTAATTTTTGGGTATAGAAACACAACTTTTCTAATGCGTGCCATGTGATGTGTATGCCATTGACTTACACGACCGTCCAGAAGGGACAGCCGTTTGGGTTTTACATTCACCGTCCAACTCGCTGGATCAGAGCTGCGAAAAAAGAGATGGACATAGAGACAACTTTGGGCCAACTTCTGATCCTAGTCTCAAATAAAGGGAATTATGCTTTAGGTGGCCCAAGAATGCAGGCTCAATCAATTGGGAGAAAACTTGGGACCCGAAGGTTTGTAGGCCCATTAGATGTTCTATTTTTTGGGTAATGAGAGAAAGTCCACACCCCTAAAGCTGAATCCGACCTATCATAATGGCGTCATTCTAATTCTCAAATTATCCACATCAAGTTAATTCGAGTATTCTTCCGCTTATGATCATTTGAATTAAGAACATCTGAGTTTACAATACAAGTTTTTCACCAACCATGCACGTTATGAAAAATCAATTTAATAAATTCAAACATTATAATGATGGGAGAAAAAGAAAAAGAAAAAGCATTGAGGGTTGTGGGATTCCGTGGATGTTTGTACCTTTAAGCATGTTTGACAAAAATCGTGTTTAACGGATAGGCGGCAAACAAGTCTATCAATATGGGCCAAATTGGGTATGACATCACAGGTGCATTTTGACATGTCAGGAGGCAACAAATTGAGGAGAAAATGGAGCATAAATGAATCAATAAGGTGGTCCAATTGTTTATTACATTTGCAATGATTTTATGGGGCATGCCCTTTATGCAGAGGGATTTAGAATTGTTCTTCTTTCACAAAAGTGAAGCAGAGAGAGAGAGTGCTCATTGCTTTTGCAGAAAATGCTCTCATCACTCTCTCTCTCTCTCTCTCTCTCTCTCTCTCTTTCTCTCTTTCTCTCTCCCCATATGCTCAAATCCACTATCTTTAACAAAATTCAAAAGCTTATTAATTATATCAGAGCTAACGAATGTCTTTGTTCTACTGTCAGAGAATATGTGCAACCCTAACCACTGAGAATGAGCTCACAATCATGGCTGTTTTTGCCTTATGTGGGCAGACTTTGAGAGTTGCTTGACTTTATTTATGTACCTTAAAGTAAAACCCTTTTTGGTGGCTGCAGAGATTATTAGTTTTTGGGATATCTTAGAGGATATTTTCTGTCTCATGAATTTTTTAGGGCACAAAAACAGACCATATATTTACTGAATAATAATATACATTAAAAAAAAAAAGCATGAGTGGTAAAACTTCGACATCAAAAACTTGGGATCGAAATCTACCCTCAACAAATCATGTGAGGGATTAGATTGATAAGAGAACACCAGCCCTCTTAAGTGCAACCCATTACCTAATATATGCTTCCAGGGCCACAGATTAAGATCAACTTGGTGCTTGGACATGAACTTTTTTCAATTGAGCTTGACATAGCTTACGATGGCTTGCCTTTTTACAGAAGAAGTTTGGTGACAAGCACTTAATCTCAGTTTCTCTAATCTCACTACTCATTTCTCATGAAGGTAATTAGTCACAATTTGTTAGATTCATTCATGTTCATGCTATTTAACTAAGGACTCCATGCAATGCAACTCAGCCTAAATACATAAAGTGATTATTTTCTAATCATAACATGGTTATGTTGATACATTTTACTAACGACAATGATTAAAAACAGACGTCGACTATATAGCCGACTAATTCTCTAATGAAGTTCTAGATTATCTCAAATTGTTTTGAAGAAGGGATCAATCACCATGGGAATGTATAAAGCAAGTGGGCAACTGCACCCAAAGTCCAAATACTTATTCATTGTAGCCACTGATACAGTACTGTATTATGCTTCTCCAAAGTTCAAAGTGGCAAGAATAACATAATTGCGTTTAGGCAGAAGGGGAAACGAAAAGAAAGTTTACTGTTTGATTTGCTTTTTATAAGCATTTCAAAGTTTCTGTCATGGCTACTGGCCCCATATTATCATATAGTATTATGAATATATGGTGGCTGTTTAACCCAATTAATAATTGTTCATGTAATTAAGTAGCCAATGGTAATCAAGGGCACCTAATTATCCCTGCTTTCCATATTTGCTGGACCAAGAAGCTTTAACTTTTAGACATGGTAAAAAAGTGAGAAAATGACAATCCATGTTGTTCCTGTCTCCATTATACGACAAGCACTTTTCGTTTTATTTTCAAATTCATATTCAATCACGAAATTTATAAAGTTTTTTATTCTCTTTGTTTTTTATTTTATTTTACATTGCGTTTATTTTCACCATCCAAATGCACTGAGACTTCCATTGAGTTGCAAGTGAGCTTAATTAGTTAAATTTACAGCAATTGTAAGGAGCCTATTCGCTGACCGCATCAATAGATCAACTAATTTGAGAGACAACCAGTTCCATTATCAATCCTATATCTTTCTAATTGTATGAGGATTTAGAGAGTTTGACAGGCTTATAATTGGTTCATTGACTATTGAGAAAAAGAAGATTAAAAGGAAAAGAAAGACTTCATTTCCTGGGAAAAGAAAGAGAGGATAATGATTCATTGACCACTTGGGTATGACTTGTGAGAAAGGACCTAATCGTCCACAAGAAATTTGGAAAAAAATGCATGTGAAAGGAAACAGAAACTGTATCAACACATTCCAAATGGCAAAAACAGACAAGAAGGCTACAAATTTAGATGGATGGAAAAATAGGCATGAGAGTCCAAATATATATATATATATATATATATATATATATATAAGGCAGATAGGAATGTGAAAATTCCCAATCATTTTAGACCTTGATTTCAGTGATGTACCTAGATCATGTAAAATTCAACATCAATAATGCAATTTTACAATGACATACCTCGTCGACTTTGACAAAATCATATTTAAAATAGAGTAATTGTCACGCAATTATGTGGTTTAACTCATTTGAGTCTACTTATGTTTATAAATGATTTTTTTTTTCTAGATAATTTTTTGTTGTTGTCAAAATGAAAGAGGTGAAAACTTACACACACGGTATTATGGAGGTTTGAATTCAGAATCACTTGACACTGAAAATCTAGGGCAATCCAATTAACACCCCATTGATTCTAGATAATTATTTGACAATGCTTTGTTGGAGGAGCACCCAGAAATTCCATGCGCAATAACAAAATTTCAACTCAACTTTAATCTGCAACTTTTTATTAGACCAAATTCCAATTAGCCCAGAAAGAAAAGAAAAAAAAAAGCAACCCGAAGCAATGATTGGACGGTGTGGTCTTAATCACGGTCCACAAGTCAACCTTCGGGTCCCCGTGTCGTAACCTAGAAGAAACAGTCACCAAACCAACCACTCAAATACGGCCACGCCAGCACGCTTCGCAAAACAATGGGAACCACCAAAAGACTTTCCATGTGAATCGAAGAAGCCATGCAGACCGCACCGCCAATATCTTCTTCTCGCCGTAATCTAAAAATCACCACCGTCGGTTGAGAATTGTTTACAGATTAATTAAAAATAAAAAGTGCAATGGTGATTGACCAGTGGATAATATATACCAAGTATACACCGTTTACGCTTTCACTATCTACTACTTGTAGCAACGACTGAAAGAGAGGTAGAAAATAAAAATTAATTGCAAGTTGCTACCAAATTATAATATTAATTTCTTTTTTTAGTATATGTGACGGGTAATTTTTCTCTTAATTAAATGAGTTTTAAAGCAAGTGGGAGGGGCTAAGTGACAAATTAAGAGTAGCCTTAATCATATTTAAAATAAATATTTTGTTACAAAGTCTCAATTCAGTCGGGGCCTAAACTGCTGCATTATTACATGATGTAATTAAACTTTGTAATAAAATAATATAATCTAATATATAATTCAGATGACAGTCACACGTACAACCCTTCTAAATAATATGATTATATAATTAAAAAAATTCATAATAAGAAGAACATGAAAAAAGGAAAAGAAAATAAAATTCCATCAACCTCGCAAGGACAATCAGAAAAGTCTCACACATATATGATATATTAGCATTACGAAAATACAAACATCTGAAAAATCTATATATATATATTATAATTAGGTCAACAGGAAATAGGTAATGTTATATTTTAGGAGTGCTGCTGAGACTTGTGATCATGGTGACCGGGGGAACTCAGCGGAAACAGGGTCAGTAACTCGGGCGGGTCTGATCCTCTCGGCGTGCTGAGTGGGGAAGGGTGCAAATAAAACCCTTTCTCGGCAATCGCCTTCTCTTCCTCCGACGCCGCCGCAGCCGGAGACGAAGGCGACTCGGAACCGGAACTCGGGAAGAAGAGAGAGTCAGAGCCGAGTGGGGTGACGGGGCTCGGAATCGGCGAGTCGAGGAGCTGGTAGGTTTGGCGCGGGGTCTGCGACTGGGAGCCGTGTAGGTTGGCGAGACTGAGCTTGATCTCGAGCTTCCTCATGGTGTGTCTTCGCTCTTGGAGCTTGAAAGGTGAACGGCGGGGGCCGGTTGGGTCACCGGGAATTGTGGGTGCCTTTGGGTAGTGCCTCGTGGGGTGGGTAACTGGGAGCTTCTCTGAGTCACCGGATAAACCAGTCAGCTTCTGTACTAGGTCTCGGAAGGTGTTTGTGTCTGCTTGGACAAAGGTTGTGGGCGAAGATGTTGGTGAGCAAAGGTTGGTGCTTTGTGGTGGGTGATGTTTTTCCATTTTTGAGAGAGAGAGAGAGAGAGAGAGAGAGAGAGAGAGTGAGAGAGAGACAAAGAGAAGAAAGAGAGAAGAGCGAAGATATTAAACTAAAGATGGGATGATATTTGGGTATGGTGGAAAAGAAAGGATGTAATGTAATTCATGGGTTGTGTGTGGCTTTGTTGGGAGTTTGGATGAGAGGAGTGTATAAGAGATAGGTGAGAGAGTGTTTAAAAGATGAGGACTTTTATAATGGGGACTTTTTGGGTTTGGGGTGTAAGGGGTTTTTCATACTACTATTGACCTCTTGGGGTGAATGTCGTTACGGAAATAATGGAACTATTTATATACGTATTAAAAAGACTAATAAGACTTGGTTATTTCTACTCTTTCTTTTCTCAATTGATTATTTAAGGAGAATAACTTATCCGTGACGAAATAGTTATGCATCTCTCATCACGTGAAAGAGAGGATAGCACGTCTCCGTTACATGCAAGTTTAAGTTCAAGTAGAGAGATTTTACACTATATTACGATCAATTAAAATTAAGATATTATTTATCTAAAAATACAAATAAAATTAAGATGATATAAATAATTTTATTCGTGAAGAAAATTTGACCAAAAGCTTTTGCAAAATACAGGTAGGAATTCATTTGAATGGGGGGGTCATAAGTGTGGTGAAACTTTAAGTTGTTTATGGGTTTTAGCCTAGATTGCCCTTATGTTCAAACCGCCGGTTTGGAAGATTGAATCAAACACACACAAAAAAAGAAAGAAAATAAATAAAAAGGGAGGGGGGAAATAGACACAGTTGGTTAAGACTTAAACATTCAACCTTATCTGTTGTAAGGACATTGAAACTAGACTTCATTTCAAAATCTCTCGAAAATTATTTACCACCATTTGCAAAATGAGAGTCATGGAATAGATGCTCTTGAAGCTATGATAATATGTAACAACATGCCCTTTATAATGAAACTCCAATTCTACGTTCGCCTCCATGAGCATTAATAAAATTGGAAAATACTTTTTTTGATTGGACATAGTCACTAAATATTCAATCTTTTTTTTTTTTTTTTCGGTCGAAACAAATATTCAATAATATGTGAAGCGTTTATTGTACGAAGACCCATCCCTTTCTTCCTTCCCTTTTTTGTGACATCTCTTTTTCATCATGATTGAGGAATGGTTCAATGAACACTTACTTTTGATACAATATTGGTAATCTATGTACTTAAACTATGTCTTGTTTAAATCTTTGAATTCGACTAATAACGTAATTAGTTTTTTTTTTTTTTTTTTTTT